AAGTCAATATTTACATTGTAATAATGTGCACGAAAGAAAAACATCTACTACCGAGTTTCGAAGTCGGATGTCGATGGCCGAAGATTTTTTTTTTCATAATACTCGAAAATATCGCTGCTGTTCAACCGTCCGTATCTAAGGGTAGAATTCTTTCACAGGATGGAATCCGCCTAATGGCGAATTTTGCGCGAAGTTTTTGGTTCACCCTTGGAAGGTAAAGATAATCAAAGAATTAAAGCCTACATACCATTAGGTGAGGCGTACATGGCCAATTGTCATGTCCTATTTTTTAAACATTTCTAACAAAACCTATGCTTAAACATTTATGAAGTTTTTTTTAACTTCTAAGAACCCGTATTACCAAAGTACATCCCTTCATAATGCTTAGTACGGGGATAGACGAAAACATGACCCATATACCCCATTTTGAAGAAATCTATATACAAGATCAAAGCGTTACCTTAAATAAAGTGATCTATATTGTGATTTTCCAAGGAGTATAAGTATATTTTGTGATAAAGAAAAAACCTTTTATTACCCTTTTGTGTTATAACGTGAGGTTGAAAGATCAAGATATATTTCAAGTTTTAACAATATATATTTTTATTTTATAGCATATTTACTGATTTCATTTACCCTCTTTCAGTTACCTATTTACAACGACACAAAGACGATCGGTCACTGATTTAATGCCAATGATTGGTGCACGTTTTTATACACAATTGGATGCCTTGCAGGCACAATGCGATATGCAAGAGGACGAACTTGCCAAGGAAATGGAAAATGGACGCCTTTACCGAATATTGGTTAAATTGAATTGTATTAACGAGAGACCAGAGTAAGTCCAAGTCAACGAAATATATATTCTAATTTGCAATGAGACAAATTTATATTAATTTTTGTAAATTACAGCTTCAATTTAGATTGTACATGGTCTGAAATTGGTGATAGATATATGCTGAAATTATTCCGTGATTATTTGTTTCATTCCGTCACTGAAGATGGTCGGCCATGGTTGGATCACGCACATATTGTACAATGTTTAAATAAACTTGATGCTGGCTCATTAGAAAGAGTAAGTAGAAACTGATGATAATGGTAATAATAATTAGGGATATTCAAATTTATATTTATGCGAACATCAACATTGAATCAGAAACTGAATCGATATAATTTGTATCACTGTATAATTTCCTAAATATCTAGTCGCACTATTTATGACCAGATTAGAAAATTTCACAGACATTCATATGTATTTTACGATATTGGGCGTTAAAATCAAGCCCTGTTTGGGAATAATTATATTTTCCAACAGAAATAACTTTTAATTGGCATTTCGATTTATCTTCTCCTTGCAAACATATTTCAATGTAGATATTGGTAAATTTTAATTATTGGTAAAAATATAACTGTAAGCAATATGTGGATAAAATCGGATATCGGATGAGATATGTACATTTTAAAGAAGTTTACCCTTCTTGATAGAGATATGTGAAGGAATGTTCCAAACAAGAATTTAATAGAATCAATAATGTTTACAATTGTTAGAACAAATTGATTGATCCATTTTGGGAAAGATGGCTGATATTCTCAATGTTCGAAATTGACCTAAATTTGAGGAAAAAGTTATCTAAAATCGGCCGAAGCGCAGGGACGATCATTTCCAAATCTTCAAATAGGGATTTGCTTGAAACACCTGTATTTTGATAAGGTATTAAAATAGCAGTGTTTCCAAATTATCATCAGTTCGTGGATTGTTTTGATCAGAAGCGAACCACCAACATTTGCACTGTATTAATATATATTTTTATTTTCATCTATAACATTGAATCAATCGGATTTATTATTTTCTGTTTTCCTTTCAGGTTCAACTCATGTCCCGTGATGAACAATCAGTTCTAATTGTTACTTATGCTGAGCTTAAAAATTGTTTAGACAAGGCATTTTCTGAATTGCTGGCTGGCGCTGCCTCATAATGATAGGTAAACATATAAATACTTCCAAATGTTCATTTTTTTATTATTATTTTAGAATCGAATATTTCGATATGTATAATTTTCTATACATGACCTCTTGTATTTTATAAGTCTACCATATTATATTTATAAAATAATTTAACTTCATATTCTTTTTCTCTCTTTTTCTACTTTCCAAACAAAACAAAAAAAAACTAGACTATCACCATGTCATTGGCACTACTGATACTTTTATCCCTTTTATCAAAAACAAAAATCAACAAACAAAAACTTTTATCATTTGCATCATCAACTTTACAAAGAAACCACAACAAAATTATTAAGAGAAAAAACCCTTCCCCAACGAAAATGTTACAACTACAAACTATAATTAATTGTTAAGCTTAAAAGTTTTTTTACATTTTAATTTGAAATGAAACACATAATAATACAACAACAACAATTCATTCAAAAAGGCATAATTAGTTAAATAATAATAAAAATCACACACAAAAACAAACAAATAAACATACGAACGAAACGAAATTAAGTAAAAGAAAAAAAAAACAGATATCCAAAAAAATATGGAAAACAAAAAATGAAAAACAAGAAAAAAAAATGGAAATCTCTTTAAACCAGAAAAAAAAAATTGAAAAAATATCTTTGAAAAATATTGTTATAAAAATTGAAAAAGAAAAATAAACAAAAAATAACAACTATATTTTTACATAAAAAAAACAAGTGGAAAAAGAGAACTTTCTTTTTGAGAAAAGCCGTGAAATGTTATAAGAAAAAAAAACAGCAAAACTTTAACAGTTTGATTACGCAGCAGATATATATGTGAGGTCTACACAAAAAATCCATATTATGTCCACAAACTCTCCTCCCTATCTTCTTTACCGCTCCTACTTGTCCTCACACTCAAGTGCAGAAAGGAAACTGACTGGAATCAGAGCAGCAACAGTTGTAAAAGCAAACAAAAGAACATTTTTAAGAAACAAATTTTAAAATGACATTTGTTGGTCGGTAATTTTTGGTATTTATTTTTATACAAAAACACACACACACAGACAAAAAGCGCTGTAAATTAAAACCAACAAAAAATGACGAAAAAAATATACCAAAAAAACAAAAAAAAGAAAATAAAAAAATAATACAGTCCAATATAGATAGACAAGGTTATGTTGAAAAATCAAGATTTGAGTAGATGAGTTTTGTTGTGAGATATTTTCAATGAAATTTTAAAATTAGTTTTGCAATTCATTTTTCTATTAAACACTGGAAATTAAAATAATGGTTTTGTGTTGATATCAGTCACAAGGTATATCATCAATTACTTACCAATATAAAAACGGTATAGTAAACATTGCTCCTACTTATATTTGGATTGTGTTATTTTGTTGTCATAAACAAAAGCAAGTGTAAAAAAAAAGAACGAACCCACTATTTTGAAAATGACATAAATACATATTTTTACAAAAAAAAAAGAGTAAAACAAAAAATGAACACAATGTAAACACCAAGAAACACACTCATGGAATTACATTTGTAAAATCGCCATAAGTAAAAATATTTAATATAATTTTCAAAAAGTTTTACAATCAAAATACACAATGTTATGTTTCGCAAAATACTTAATGGAAAAAAAGGCTCGTGGCTCAAGCAAACAAAATGGTATATATGCCCTGCAAATCAAATTTATATTTGGTTTTTAAATTTGTTACAATTTGTTTTATTTATAAATTAATTTCAATCTTCCCCCTCTCAATGGCGATCTTTCAAATATATTCCATGATAGTATTTCTTATATCTTTTTTTTTCTTGGAATAAATAATATTTATTTTTTATTTTATAAAAAAGAAAACAACACCACCACCTACATACATGTAAATCCAAAAAAGAAAACGTATTGTATAATAAAACAACAAAATCAATAATTTGTGAACCATTCGATTATTTGGTAAATAACCAACAACAACAAAAACATTTTGTGTATATGAACATAATGTAACAAAAATTCAATAATAATAACGATAATTACGATTACAAATATCTTGTTAAATGCTACTGTTGCTTTCACTTAGTTTACTTTAAACATCTGTTTTCCGTTCTCCCCCTTTCTTAATATCTCCTCGTTCATTCTAGATACCCTGGCCCAATTCTCTTTTTTCCTCTTTAATTTTTACTATATACATATATATTTTTTTAATTTATAATAATAATATGTTCTACTATTAGGTTTTTTTCTCATCCATTTTTTTTTTAAATTTAGGAATTATAAATTATTATTAATGATTGTACTTGAAAGTAAGACTTATATTTAATTGTAAACAAAAACCAACAACAAAAGTAAATATTTCAAAAACAAACAAAAAATGAGAAAAAATGTCGAAAAATACAAAAAAAAATAATAAAATGTTTGAAAAAATTTTAAATTGTCATTTGTTTTATTTGAAGTGGAAAAATGGTACCAGGAAAAATGTATTTAAAAAATCTACGCCTTGTATGGTCCCAGGTCCCAGAATCTATACCTTGTATGGTCCCAGGAAAAAAAAATTATTTAAAAAAATGTACGCCTTTGTATGTTCTCAGGAAAAAATTATTAAAAAAAGTGTACGCCTTTGTATGGTCCCAGAAAAAAAATATATTTAAAAAAATGTACGCCTTTGTATGGTCCCAGGAAAAAAATATTTAAAAAAATGTACGCCTTTGTATGGTCCCAGGAAAAAATATTTAAAAAGTGATTAAAACCAGTGAGCGGAGCAGTATAGTCGGACGGGGCCGACCATACGATACCCTACACAACTTCCATGAAAATGTAACTTTCTGTGGTTCTATATTCTGAGATTGGTCAATATTTCGCGATATTGTTACTAATAATCAGTACAGCATCTCTAATTACAGATTCCCTTCACCGTGGGTTGTGTTGTGATGTTCGGCTTTCGACTCGAAAAGTACAAATAATTAAGTTTTCGGTCCACTTCATCCGAAAAATATTTTCTGATCATCACCTAGCATTTTAGGCGTTGTCCTTTACCATAACTGGAACCTCATGGAACATTTCAAAGCGATCAGCGCTATATTTCCGCCCTCCAGTGTGGCAATAGGTTACTAAATAATATATGAATACGTAAGCACCTGTAAATATTTAAGTGTAACTCCCGCATCCGAGTACCTACGACAATATAATTGGTATCAATTTAAAGGTCAATCACTCCTCTTGAATATACTATCAACTTCTCGGGTGTATGTCCTTCAGGGGCAAATATATAAGCAATAGAATACAAAATTTGTAATTTTTCACACAAAAGTCGGGGCCCATTTTACCCGCTAAATATTGACCGATCCTTATCAAAACAGGCATGCTTATTATTTGGCCCGATCCCCTTCTCCATGTAAAATTTCGCGATGTTCGCGCCATAATTGCGGCCTCTGGAGCGACCAGAAAAACCGACAAAAAATTAGTATTTGGTCCATTTCATCCCCTAAATATTAACTGATCTTTACCAAAAACAATAGGGGTCTTCATTGGCCAGAACCCATTCTACATGCAAAATTTCGTGAAGATTGGCCCATAACTGTGGCCTGTATCGTGTTTACAAATGATAATGGACAGACGGACGGACGGACACACATGTCTAGATCGACTCAGCTAGTTGAGATATGACGATCGGTATACTTAAAGGTGGGTCTAGGACCAACATAGTTGTGTAGTTGTGTAGGGTATAAAAATGTACGCCTTTGTATGATCCCAGGAGAAAATTATTTAAAAAATCTACGCCTTGTACGATCGGAGGAAAAATGTATTTAAAAAATCTACGCCTTGTACGATCGGAGGAAAAATGTATTTAAAAAATCTACGCCTTGTACGATCGGAGGAAAAATGTATTTAAAAAATCTACGCCTTGTACGATCGGAGGAAAAATGTATTTATAAAAACCTACGCCTTGTACGATCGGAGGAAAAATGTATTTAAAAAATCTACGCCTTGTACGATCGGGGGAAAAATGTATTTAAAAAATCTACGCTTTGTATGGTCCTAGAAAAAAAAATAAATTAAAAATCTACGCTTTATATGGTCCCAGGAAGAAAATAATTTAAAAATCTACGCCTTGTATGGCCAAAGGAAAAAATTGTTTAAAAAAATCTTAATTCTTTCAGAATAAAGTTCTCACATTTCTAGAATGTACACATATTTTCGTATTTAACCGAAGTGACTATCTCTTAGTATTACTATGTGGCTGTACTTTAGAATTCCGGGACCCTGGTAGATTAATAACAACTTCACAGAATATTTCCAGTAGACCAATGTCGAGGTCCTAGCATAATTTTCCTACATTAGTAACTAAATTTGGTTTTTAGTATTTCTCCAGCCAGCAATTTACCGTGGAATAGCACTCATATAAAAATCCTGACCTATTCTAAGTTTTTTGAATGTTAACCTCATGGTGGAGGGCAGAAAAACGTATGCCTTTTTCACTCATTTCCTTTTTTTTAATATTACTGAACTAAGTTTTCCATACTTTTTAATTGTCCTTTCCATTTCCGCGGTACACACGAAATGAATTATGTGACTCATCTAAAAATAGTTTGATGACTTGGAATATTTGAGGTATTTCCATGAAGCCGGTCATTATCCTTTTATTGTTTGTTTGTATGAAGGTGGTCAATTGTATTTTTCATGGACATGGTGTTATGTGTGACTAAGGCTAGAATTCGATGAGTGCGGTAGCAGCATGACGTTACTGCGCAGTTCAAAAAATAAAGTAGGTGTTATGTTAGTGAAATTTGTGTTTGGCTAACTACACATAAATACAAAATACTAAAAATACGGAAATTATTGATTGATTGATGTCTTCAAATGAGACATATAGTAAAATTAGCTGTTCCTGATTTGTTAATGTGTGTTATATACTGAACTTCTTTAAGTTGATTTGATAGGGGTTTTGATCAATTGGCCCAACAAGATCCTACTTCAAGTCGAGTTATAGAAAATAAAAGTGAACGAGTTTGAGCCAAAACTACTAACAAGGCTTTTTATTTTTAGACAAAATACAATGGCATTCAATGTTTATAAAACTATAATTGTACTTTTTAAAGCACTTATAAAATCAAAATATAATTTATAGATTCATATAAAATATACACCATTTAGTCCAATATAAAAATCTACTTTAGACAACATTTTCCTGTAGAACAGTGTTCGCCCACCTATAATAGGTGAACATTTGTTTAAATATTTGTTAACAGTTTTGGTTTTTTTATATATAAAACCAATGTTAAGGATGAGTTAGTTGTGTGTTTAACTTTTTAGTCACCGAGTTAGTCTGTCTACATCGAATGCACGCTATGTTATTATTTTCGGCTTTAACACATACTGAATACTAGTCGATAGTAGTAAAGGGAAATAATTATCAATATCAAATACAAACAAAAAATAAATCAAGCAACAAATCAGTTTACTGGTGAACTCCAACTTGACATGTTGGCTAGCGGAATATAAAAACAATATATTTTAGAATAATTTTGTGTGCAAAATATTTCAAAATGGAAATGACATCGCCGCCACCTGAAGGGTTAGTTAACAAATTATGAGAAAACACATTATAAAATATTTAAAAAAAAATCCCATTTGTTTTTTCCCAAACAAATGTGTAAAATAATACAACAAAGTTAAAATTGAAAACGATGTGACCAAGTTTGTAGCTACTAATAAAATTAACTAAAAACGTTCGTTCCAGTGTATGCTATTAATTATTTCTCATTGAAAAACACATGCAATTAATTTGATGTAGTATTATTCAATAGAAAATAAATATAAAATTTTTAATAAAAACATACCAAAAACAAAGTGTTTGCCATGTTTCCGGAAAATTACAGTTTTCTGGGACTATTCTTAACTTCTAAAGGCGTAACGATACAGATACAAATGAAAAAAGGATTTTTAGCTTAGAATAACTTCTTTGTAATTGCATTGGAGCAAATTCACCGGAGTTATCAGAATATGCAATGCAATTTCAGTCATATAACTTCTGAAGAGAAAATTGCATCTCTACAAAATCGGTTCCACTTGAAAACGCATATATTCTACATTGCTACGAATAAATAATAGTCTTTAACAAGTTCAATATTGTGGTGGAAAATTTGAATCCACATATTTAACACTTAATATCATAGTAATATTCAAATAATTTTGAAACGTTTCATATGACACCACTTTAATTTTTATATCAGCTGTACGAAAAAAGTTATAACAAAACGAAATGAGATGTGTCTTTTTTAGACCCGTCCAAAACCAAATTCCTCGGTGGACAGATTTATAGATTAGAATTGAAATCGTATATTTGGGAAGATAATATTTTACATATTCCTAATGTTTGTTCTGAAAATCTGATGGAAGCTAAAGTATATTAAATATTTTCTTATTAAAAAAAATAACAAAAATAAAACAACTATAGTCAGTTTAATTGCATATAATGAGTTTATAGTATAGAAAGTTACTTTTTCAGGGTCCTTTGGTATTGTAGGTATTTTGAAACGGGCACCAACAGGGAGAACAGTCTACAGTAGGTCAAAACAAGAAAAAGAATTATTATTTTGAATTATGCAAAATCGACCAACAGTTAAATTGAAAAACTCATTAAGTAAATTGCTTTCTAGACCAATGATAAGCACTCCTTCCATTTTTGGCGGTTGTTAATATGAACTCGCGACATTGTGCGTCGTAGTCAGCGCCAACTGTTGATGGACATGATTCAAATCGTGCATATCGGTCTTTCACGCTCAACTTTTGAAGCGTATAACAAGATTATCACATTTCTACAAAACACGTGTCATATATTGAACTTTTCGTTCACCATCGAATAATATATTACGTAGGTGTCGTAGTTTATGATCTTTGCCTACACTTTTGGCACTCACTGTATACAGCTGTGAATTAATGCTCTGTTAATCAATCTACATAGAACGATGACGAAATCCATTCATCTAGTAGACGAATAGCTTTGAATGGCCCCCCTCGCTTCCCCCAATAACACGCTCATGTTATATTCTATATAGTCTGTATATTATTGTTGTTATTTAAATTCTCGATCTTATCCACACTGAGAGAAGGGAAATCCCAACATGAGAAAAAAACAAAAGCAAGAAGCAATAAAAACATCTCTCACATATAAAATAATAAAAAAAGAAACGACTTTTTATTTGCCTCCCTGAAGAACATTGGGTTTTTATTGTATTTTGAACGAAATACTTATTTAATCTCAGTATAAAGAGATCAGTTATCCGAGTCACAACGTTTCGCAAAAAAACAGCAGCTATTGTGGTTTGCTCTTAAATGAGTCAGCCGAACTAACTGATAGAGACATTTCTATGTGACCAAAAAAATAATAAGAATCGTATGTTCGGTAATTAATTTCGTATTGTCTGTCCGGTAGTAGTTTAAACGTAAAAGGCAAATAAACTCATTAAGTTTGAAAAATAAACAGCAGTAAATATAACTGTGAAAACGTTAAATAATAGGAAAACGGAAATTGAAACAGAAGAAAAAACATGGCAACAGATACAAAAATCAACATTGGCGATGATCAACTTTATGAAAATGTCTACTATTCCAAAAATATTTCCGTTGAGGCTGAGTAAGTTGTGGTTTATAAAGATGTACAAACAAACATAGATGTGTATGTATGTAAACATAAAATAAATGGAAATATGTATGAATAAGAAAAATTTTCCACAATTTGTTTAAATTTTATTAATTTTTATTTTGTAGTTACCGAACACCCGAACTACTGAAACAGACCCAAAAACAGGCCGATGAAATTGTCGAAATAATGTACAATAATGTCAACAAGGTTATGGACCGTCAAGAAAAACTCGAAGATTTAAATGCCACCGCCGAAGCCTTGCAAGCCCAAGCTGCCACCTTTCAGACCACAGCCGTTACATTGAAGCGAGAAAAGTGGTGGTCTCACATGAAGACCAAAATAATTATTGCCATTATAATCGCCATCATATTGATTATATTAATCGGTAAGTATGGGAATGGTTTTTGCAGAAACAAGGCGAAAAAGTTACAACCAGTGGATGACAAATTTGAAGAAAAACTTGTGGGGGAATTACAGGATCCGGATCAATCTGCTATGAGATATTTTTATGGTTCATATATAGGACAAAATTATAATCAGCAATTTATTCGATTTGACTAAAGTCATATCAAAAATAATCCGCCTTAGCTGCAAACAACGGTCTGATCTTTTCGTGTTCAGAGGTAGTTGTTATATGCTCCGCTCACTGGTTTTTATACCCTCCGTTTGCAACACCTGGAAATATTTACCGGAGACCCCGGGGAAAAAGAAATCCATTAGGGCGGTCGTCGAAAATGTCTATAAAATCGGAGAAATGATCGAAGTTGACCAGCATGTTAGTAGTCGTAACATGACCCAGGAGCTAAAAATCGACCATAAAAATGTTTTAAACCATTTACACAATGGTTTAAATGGCTGGATTCAATAAGAACCTCGATGTTTGGGTGCAACACCAATCAACAGAAAAAAATATGATGGATCGAATAATAAAATTATAATCGAATAGGATAAATATGATAAAATTATAATCAGCAATTTATTCGATTTGACTAAAGTCATATAAAAATAACCCGCCTTAGCTACAAACAACGGTCTGATCTGTTCGAGTTCAGAGGTAGTTGTTATATGCTCCGCTCACTGGTTTTTATACCCTCCGTTTGCAACACCCGGAGACCCCGGGGAAAAAGAAATCCATTAGGGCGGTCGTCGAAAATGTCTATAAAATCGGAGAAATGATCGAAGTTGACCAGCATGTTAGTAGTCGTAACATGACCCAGGAGCTAAAAATCGACCATAAAAATGTTTTAAACCATTTACACAAAGCTGGATTCAATAAGAACCTCGATGTTTGGGTGCAACACCAATCAACAGAAAAAAATAGGATGGATCGAATTTCCATATGCGAAGCCTTGGTCGAACGGAATGAAATATACCAATTTTGTAAACGGATGGTGACTGGAGATGAGAAATGGATCACATACGATAACGAAAACGACCGTGTTCAAAGAGAACGGCCAGGAAGGTTCCGCTATGCATTTGGTGGGACTGGAAGGGGATTATTTATTATGGGTTGCTGCTTCCATATTGCCAAACGCTAAATTCTGATCTCTACTGCCAACAACTGGGCCGTTTGAAGATAGCAATTGACCAGAAACGGCCAGAATTGACCAACAGGAGGGGTGTCATGTTCACCAGGACAACGCTAGGCCACACACACATCTACACTGAAAACTTGGTATCTAGGGAGGATTGTGGAAATCGACTATTCATTTTTTTTCGCAAATAGAGAGCAGGACTTCTATGAGAGAGCCATTATAGGGTTACCCTTAAAATGGCTACAAATCATACAACAAAACGGTGCATATTTGACTAACATCGGACATTCCGAAGCATCTTAAATAAAGTCCTATAATTCATATAAAAATAATGGATTTATTTTTCCCCAACTTAATATATTCTGGATCAGAATAAAATTCTATGTCGATTTACGCTTGTCCGTCTTTTAAAATCACGATAGAGATCGCAATCTTTAAGATAGAGCTCTGAAATTTTTGCACAGACATAGGATGTTTGGTATTGCAAATGGCATATATCGGCCCACGTTTTAATGTAGCCCCATATAACGGTACACCCCAATATTCGGTATTTTGACATTTTGAGCCCGTTTTTCAATCGAATTGGCTGTAATTTGGCATTTTGGATTTTCATGGTTTATCACATCTCCGTACTAAAAATTATTAATATTGACCTAGGTTTCAAGGTTGTCCCATATAACGGTACACCCCCCCAAATTCGGTATTTTTGGGGATTTTGTACACGTTTCCCAACCAAATAGGCTGTAATTTTGCATTTTGTGTTCTCATGGTATAACATATTTCCGTACCAAAAATTATTAAAATTACAGGTTGCAGGGTAGCCGCCATATAACGGTATATTACGGCATGTTCAATGTCCTATCATAACATGAGTTTTCTCCTGGGAGACCCCATTAATTTTAGATATTTTGATTGTCATCCTGGTGGATGGCATAAAAGTTCGTGAGGGCCGAACTTAAGATCGTTTTTAATTGTCTATTTAGAAATCGCAATAGGGAATTTCAATTTTGTTAAACAGTTCAAATTTGTTTTTTATGATAATAAAATAATTCTCTTCTTTACTTTATTTATTTACAGCAACACTGGTGTCATCATTTAGCGGTTCTTAGCGATGGAAATCTAAATCTCCCTAATTATGTATATTGAATCGAATACATTTAAACTGGCTTCAATAAACTACAAATGTATTTAAATATTTATTTTTAATTATAACAATAATTATTAAGAAATCGTATTAACCTGGCCGCCCAAACTTTGGCAATATTTATTTAGCATTAGACATTCCTTAGAAGTTAAAGTTTCATAGTATATATCTATGTAGAAGTTATATGAAATATGTTCTTAATAAATAAATATATACATATAATAACATCTATATTTTCCAAATTACTAAATCTATTTTTCAGAAAGTTTTCCGTTCGTATATTTTTCAAATTGTTTTTTTTTATGGATTTTCATATAATCCATCCATTACCTTCAGAGGAGAACAGCTACAATGAAAAAAGGAAGTGGAAGCTCCAAAGTTACATTGGAGACCCCACTTCCGAATTGCAAGAAGCACAGGACAGGAAAGCGTATCGATGTCATTATCAACGTATGGCCTATAAGAAATTCCTATTGATAGTACGTTTACATTTAACCGGATTTCGTTAACCTAGTGGGTTTCAATTGTCAATTCCTTTGCATATATGTCAAATAAATCCTCATAAAGTATGTTAACCCTGTAAAAATTTCTAATGTACATGCCGTTTGAAATAGGTAAATCCTTAAGGTATTGAGCAAGTACGAAAGAGACTATACGTATAAGGTGTCAAGGGAACTCCTATTCGAAAGATTTCCCACCTCGTATACGGTCGAGCCCTATAAAGGCGCCTAAGGTTAACCACAAGAATGTACGCCTCTTGCCGAATATCACTGAATACGTTGTAGGCAGGAAGCGTATAGCGTATTCAATTGCTGTTCCTAAAGGAATTAAAAAATGCGAAGAGAAGACTGAAGGTCGAATCAAGTGGTAAGGCTAGATAGGAGCCATCTTAGACAATACCGAAGTATCGTCAAGCGACGATTCGACTGGTGATTCCTGATGAGGAGAGAGACTTTTTAGTCTTATCTTCATCAAAAGGCCTGTTGGACTCTATAGGCCCTTCTAGTGTTTTATAAAACCATTTGCTCTTCTTTAAAGCCGTCGGATCTTCTCCAAAACATTGACGTATACCATTACACCTTAACCACCCTTGGTGGCCCAATGTTGCCCACAGGCAACAAAATGTTTTAGAGCTTATATTTAATATGCAGCTAGTAGATATATATTATTTGGATTTCATATGTCAAGACCTGATTATGGACGACACATATCAAAAGAGTTATGAGCATTTCAATACAGAGAAGAGGGTACATTTGTGTATATATATTATTTGGATTTCATATGTCAAGACCTGATTATGGACGACACATATCAAAAGAGTTATGAGCATTTCAATACAGAGAAGAGGGTACATTTGTGTATACAGTCCATATTATTTATAGTACGTTTACATTTAACCGGATTTCGTTAACCCAGTGGGTTTCAATTGTCAATTCCTTTGCATATACGTCAAATAAATCCTCATAAAGTAGGTTAACCCGGTAAAAAGTTCTAATGTACAAGGAGTTTTAAATCGCTTCGTATTCGAATTGTACGAATTCTGCCATCAGAATTATTTTGGATTCTTGTAAAAATTAATATTGAAAATAATTTAAAATTATTTTTCTGACGAAAAAGCATTTTCTTGATATTGGACATAAATGTTTCCGAAAGAATGTAATGTATCTCACGAATGCAAAGATGTAGTTATGTCAAATTTTGTGCATATTCTATTTAGGATAGTTGCATTAATTCTGTGAACAAAAATCCGTTCAAAGATTGCGGAAAAAATCGGGGCTCAAAGGGTTAATGTCTTAACTAAATCTTTGAGATATTATAAAAACACTTTCTGGTCTTCAATAGACATTTTGGTCCTCAAAACCTAACAAGTTGAAGTATAATCGTCAAATGTCTTATATGGAAATTCGGTACTGTGTGTCTACCGAAAGATTATAACTTTATTACAATTGATACTTTATATTAATTTGAATGTTGATGCATAAGTTTAAGACGGAGTATAAATAATGTTTGTATTAATTGAAAAAACCGCACTTGCTAAGAAACTAATAAAAAAAGAATTTTCTATTTTCACCAGAAGAACGCTGTTTTTTTTTTCAATTATGAAAATACTTATTTATTTAATCTCAGTATGAAGACATCAGTTATCCGAGTAACCCCTGAATTAGTCGATCATATTGGCAGGGACATTTATATATAACCAAAAATTAAAAGAAAATTGTATGTTCGGTATTTAATTCGGTAAACAATAAATATAACAGCATAAGGAAAATATACTAGGAAAACGGAAACCTGAACAAAAAAAAAGAAAATGGCAACAGATACAAAACTCAACAAAAATATTTCCAATGAGGCTGAGTAAGTTGTGGTTTTTGATAATGTACATTAGGGCGGTCTGTCAGTTTGTATGGAGCCGAAAAATTCGATTGAATCCAGTCCCTAGGATGATTCTATGGACAATTCTAAGCAACTTTGCTGAAGGAACCATAGGTCTATCTCGATTTTCGATTCTCCCACTTTTCAAAAAATGATTTTTCCGCATAACATAATTTTGATTCAAAATTCGGTTTTATTCGACAAAAATTTTGGCCCGCCCTAACGTACATGTATGTGAACCTATTTTATTGTGTCTTCTTTATTTACATATATTTTCAGAAACCAATCACCGGAACTACTGCAGCAGACCCAAAAACAAGCCAATGAAATCCTGGAAATAATTACAGACAATATCAATAAGGTTATTGACCGCCAAGAAAAACTCGAACATTTGAACACTGCCGATGCCATAAAAACCCAAGCTGACACATTTAAAACAAATGGTGTTACATTGAGACGGAAAATGTGGTGGTCTCGCATGAAGACCAACATTATTATTGCCATTGTAATCGCAATAGTTGTGGTTATATTAATAGGTAAGTGAGGAAAAAAATGAACTATAGTGGTAGGATTTTCTACAGAAAAAAATAACAATGGGTAAACAAATCAATCTAATTAGAAGGTATCAGTCAGACGGGACTGACGATTGTGCATATGTATTATGCATCTATCCTGATATTTGTTTAATATTTTTCAGTTTTTTGTAATTCCTAACCTCATGCATGTTTATATATTATATGCTTTTCTTACTGTATATATATATATATATACATAAACACGCAATAAGAGAGAAACTGGAATTAAAAAATTGATTAACTATTTTACATAAGAGCATGTAAAAATAACATAACA